GGTGGGCAAAGGGTTCCCCAGCATAAGATGGTAATAACGTCTTCTAAACCAAATGACGTATGAGCAGTTCCTCTATAATTCTAACATAAACATACAATTTTTGAAAGATTTCTTAGCCCCTGTCTCACCACCCACACTCCTCTACAGCCAGAAACGAGTTTTTTTATTTTTATATTTTCGTCAAATTAACACTATTTCATCTGATTGACAAAATTATGAAAAATAACAAAATACTTTATATTATCAGAAAATCATTTTTTTATATTTTCTGAGCGCCAAATTCAAACGCACAGTTGTTTATATTGACATAAATAATGTTTACTGCTTTTGAATCCTGGCAGGCAATTTTATGAGATGATTTCGATTGCTGATCTGAAATTAAAAAGATAACTAGTGGTGCTATAGAATGGCACACTTTTCCGTATTAGTTTTCTATTTCCTTTGGTCTCGGATAGTGATTCGGACTTGCCACATGTTCTCGCCAGCAGCTAAAATATCTATTACCGCCCAAAGTACATTTTACTGAAATTTTCTCAATTTCACATTTACAGTAACGCCTAAACGAGATTTTCTTAAAACAACTCCATATTTTTCAAAGAAAATTTGCAAATTGAACGAGGTTTTTTTCTTTTCAATAATTCTTCAAGTAATATTTCGATACTACCATTAAGAAACAGAAAAATTGAATAAATTCAACAAATAAAGAATTTTGGACGGCGATAGATGGCAGCAGGAAAAAATGTGGGAGCAAGATCAAAGAAATTAAAAACTAAGTAGCACGTGAAAGTCTGAGCCATTCTGTAGTTCCACTAATTACATTCGCCATTATAACCGATTCAAATTATTTATAATAAATTTTCTTGAACACCCCATTCTTTCCACGATAATGAACTTCAAAACACGCATTTACACATACTTAAATACATTCATTACCACACGTTTTGAAGCTTCGACTCGAGCCACATGGACAAAGGGATTCTTCAATTTGGAAAAAAAGTCTACCCATACTTTAGGCGCTAGTGGTGTTCACAGACGGACGTTTTGAAATTAACAACTTTTTCGTCATCACGGGCCCCCAAAATGAGTATTTCCGTCGAAATCGATTTTCCGCAGTATTACTCCATACTAAACGTACGTATACGAGAACATAGTTAAAAACGCAACAGAATGGCACACACTTTTTCGTATTCGTCTATATTCTTGGTCCGGGCTACTTATTCTCACTTGTCCCATCCTCTAGCCAGCTGCTATCTATCGCTGTTTCGAAAAACTTCATTTGAAGTACTTAACTCACAAACACAATTGTTCTGCTGTCCAAAATAGAAAAAAATATTTTTTGATGATGGTACCGACATTATGATTAAAACAACATATTCGCTTTAATAACAGAAAAGAAACTACTGTAATAACATTGAATATAATAGAAAATATTCGGTTGGGAAAACAGGTTTGCTTTTTTTTTTTCAGTCTACTCTAATAATAATGAATTACTACGGATGCAAATTCAATGCGCGATGATTCACTTTTCGCATTCAACGTAACCTTCATACATCTATTTGGGTGGCGTTGGTTTCATTCCCAGTGTATTCACTAAGATGGCAGCGCTTAAACACGCAAAAACATATTTTGGAAATTTCTTAGAATCTTCTTGCCGGATCCGAAAACAAATTATTAGTTCCCCGCCAGGAGACCGAGAAACGTCGTATGACAACTCTTACGTTTCTATTAGTGCACGGAAAGTGGTCCAACCGTGAGAGACCGATTTGCACACACAGTTACTCAAATACTGTATAGGGATTATTTTTCCTCAAAATACAGAAAAAAATAAATATTTTATAATATAAATCCCTAAATCCCGCCTCTGGTAAATATTGTAACCTACATTTTGTCTGAAAGCTTTTCGTATTAAATAAAAGCTCAAGGTAGGAAATCTCTTAAATGTTTACCTAATGAGAGGTTTAAAAAATAGAGAGGTGGTGAGAAGTGCTGTTTTCCGTTTTCCGGTCAAAATAAGTAGTCTTTCTGAAATAATTTACTCTGAAATGAAATATGTAAATTGTAAATATGTACTTAATTGCGAGTGTAAGTGAAGTGCAATGAAGCAAGTGAATTAGTAAGTGGGACAACTAAATCAGAATTTAATTTAAAGGGCATAATAACCAAAAAGAAGGGTCACGTTAATTTTGAATCATGTTGAAGTTCATACGTGTCATACACTTTACCTGTATTCGAACTGACTAGATCTATTCTGTTGATCAACTTTATAGCTCGTATTCTTCATTTTAAAACCTTTATTTTGCAGACAAAAGATATATTTCGTTTCTGTTGCTAATAAGCACGTAACATTTTGAAATTACTGATTTAAGTTGATAATTTTTGTGGCCCTCGCTCTCATTCCACGAAAACAATTTGGCCTGTTGTCAAAAAAAGGTTGTAGACTACTGCCGAACATAGATGATGAACGTTAATTCATTATCTACTCTAGAAAGACCCGCGTTACATCACACACATCTGATGTCGAGTACTAGGTCAGGTTAGTTTAGCCATGGATTTTTTTATGGTAGTAAGTTAATTATTTACATGTAATATGCAATGCTTCAATTGTATGTATTGATTCCCAGTAAACTAACACAAAACGTTAGTTTCCGATGAGCCATTCTTGATTTGTTGAATCTTCTTAGCTTCCAGAAAACTTTAAATCCAGACATTTTATTTCGATCATGCCAAACAATGTAGTGTCAACGAACTGAGCGGTCACCAGAAGTGGTCATTCAAGAAGAGATTTCCAACAAGAAACGTTGCATAAAATTTGAATGACACACACTTTTTTTAAAGTAGTAGTTTAGATTTTGCTTGAAAGTGTGGAGTAGCTATATCATATAAATCTGAATGTTTCGTAAGTGCCAGACCACTGCAATAAGTCAGTCTCAAGCGGTTGTCAACAATGGCTACTCTATGGTAAAAGCATACACTGAATATAAATATTTTCATAGCAGTTTCTGCGTAAGCATTACTTACGTCTGTCCTTCCACCTTGACTTGAGCCATTTCTGTCATTCTAAAAACCCAGCAGTTTTTTGCAGCTGTCACAACACGACTCGCGGCTCAACGTGGTCGGGCTTTCAGCACGCCAGGCCCCGCGGCCGCGCGCGCACCACGACGCGGCGCCACGTCCAGCAACAAAAGGCACTCGGAAACGCCACGACACTGACACTCAATGAGTTGTCAACGAAATGTAGGAATAGATCACGTGCTCGCTCGTATGGCCCGTCGACCACAACGAGAACGACGCAACGCCTATCCCGAGTCGTAGCGCCTGCTCTGGGGCTCTCCCTCCCAAACCTATCTGGATTCTCTACTTGCTTCACAAGGCCACCGGAAGGAGCGCTTGCGCATGTTAGAATTTTGCAGAATAGGTGCTAGCGCCAATGACGGGAAACTTCTGAACTATTTGGTATTCGAAAGGGGGCGTTCCAGCTACTCCAGCTGATTGTCAAGTTGCCAATGGACTCGTCATCCCATGCTCGCTCTCGTGTTTAAATTATTCGCGCAATAATCGTTTCAATTATGTACCTATGTCGTACAGTGTAGTATATGACGATTTATTCAGATAATATTACATTCAATATATATTAGTATTAAATATTAAGTACTTTCAAAGCTGCAATGACTGCGTCGTATACACAAAAAATTAGGTCTGATCTCTCCAATACAATAATTTCCAGGCAACTCAAAAAATAATCATTTATTTCTTCAGAACCTAACCTCATAGTACACTCGAACAACTTTTCGGCTACGTGGTCGGCGGCACGTCATGCCAACCTAGAGCAAATAACTTTGAGAGGCCAGTGAACAGAATTATGTTTAAAATCAATATTCACTTAAGAAAAAATGATTAGAACTGCACTATTATAGAGAATAGTAGTTTTCGTAACTTTTTTGCATCATTGAGCGAAATAAATATTACTTGATCGGTCCTCGTGTACTCTCTGAACGTTGGCTAAGCCTTATCTTCGGTAGTGTATGCCAATACAAAATGTCGCACGAGACAAGGCTTCCCAATACTTGAGAATGGTTATTTCTCACAATTTCTTTAATTTAGCGTCCTGTAGATTTATATAGTAAAAATGGGGTTTATTGAAGATACACTCGTCATTTTAATCACTCAGGTGAGATTCGTGAAAAGTATTCCATAATATTATTTCCCTTAATGCCGGTTATAATTTTCAATTGCCCAGGTTTAGAATTGTGTATTTGCTGGTCAAGAAATAGAGACATCTATAATTTTTGTAGAAGCGTGAGGTTGTGTGTGCTCGTTTTCTTTTCTGGCTTTCTTGGATAATATTTAACTGTCAGAGGAAACTTATAATTGCCCTCAATTTCTTTTCTAGGTCTTCTTCTTTGCTGGAGGATGGGTCTTCTTTGTAAAGAAACTCTTCAGAGACTATGAAGTACATCATAGACTTGTTCAGCTAATTTTTTCTATCACTTTTTCGTTATCTTGTACAATGTTTGAACTCATTATATTTGAAATTTTACGAGTTTTGGACTCCAGGTAATCATAACCCCAAAGCAAAATAATAATATCAGGGATGTTGAGATTTTTACATATGAAATGAATTATTTGTTCTAGTTCCCGATACTTTCACTGGAATGTTGGCCTGTATATGATGTTGTTCATGGTGATAGTTGTCATTCCATTCTACATAGGTTATTTTATTTTGAGTAACATACGTTTTGGTAAGATTTAAATTGGATTACTTTTGTTATCTTGCATTATTTTGTAAATAAGCAGGTTATATTTATTGAACTTTCTTTCAGTGAAACAACAAGTAATAAGACCTTTGACAGTTATGATTTGGTTGGTGTATATTTACATTTTCTGGAAACTTGGTGATCCATTTCCGATTCTCAGTCCCAAACAAGGAATATTGTCAATTGAACAAGGGATTAGTAGAATTGGTGTAATTGGAGTCACTGTCATGGCTCTCTTATCAGGTTTTGGTGCTGTTAATTATCCATATACATCAATGGCATATTTCATGAGGTAATGATTAATGGTAGCTGTACAATTTTCAGATGCAAGTTTCTCATATATGACTTTTTTTATGTGCATCTTATTTAAGCATGTAACTTGTTATGTAGGCCTGTGACACCTGCAGATGTTCAAGCAATAGAGAAGCGTTTACTTCAAACAATGGATATGATAGTAGTGAAGAAGAAACGAATAGCTCTTGTTAAAAAGGGAGCCCTGAATAATGGATCAGGAGATGGGCAAGGCAGAAGTGGCATTTGGGGAATGCTTCGAAATGTTACAACATCTGTTGGAAAAAGTAGTAGTGAAAGTATCCTTATTAATTGAATGTCGTTGTTTTTTCAGTGGTTGAAGATGCTTTCAAAGATTTTCATTTTGGGTATGGTAAGAAGAGAAAGTTGTTTAGAAAAGAGAAGAAAAACTTGATTGCTAGAATTCCTGTTATTTCAAGCCATACAACTTGGGTGTACATTTTAAACAATTCATTCATTGAGAAAAGATATCCAAAATTTGTTTGAAACTTAAATATTATTTTCTTACTCAAATAAGATAGTTGAAGTTGTGTCACCTAACCCACACCCCAGAATTCTTTCACTTTTTGAAATTCCTCTGTGATAAGTTATAAAATATTTAGTTAATATTGTTTCTGTTAACTGTCAATAATTTCAAAGATGTCTGTTCTGAATATACTTAGATTTTCATTGCTGTTTTGTAGAAAAATGCAAATCAATACTTTGATAATTTTTTCTGTGATACACTTCTATGATTGACAACCAAGAGCACATTTATAGAATATACCAATAAGTTAATGTCAATTCTCTACATTTGAAAATCCTTATCATATAACAGATGTCTGGCAGCTGAAGCAAGAAGTGGCAGGTTTGGAAGAATTGAGCCGACAGCTATTTCTTGAAGCTCATGATACTCACAATATGCAAGAGAGGCTTATTTGGGCTTCAACATGGCAAGGAAAATATTTTAATTTCCTGGGTTACTTTTTTTCCTTGTACTGCATGTGGAAAATATTTATTGTGAGTAAGCAGTGGAATCAGAAATGAGAATAGGTTTTCATTTACTTGAACAGAATTGAGATGAAAGAATGCTTATTGTTTCAGTCAACAATAAATATTGTGTTTGACCGTGTGGGTAAAAAAGATCCAGTGACAAGAGGAATGGAAATTGCTGTGCACTGGATTGGAATAAATATTGATGTTACTTTTTGGTCTCAGCATATTTCTTTTTTTCTGGTTGGTTGCATAGTAGTTACATCAATCCGGGGATTGCTCCTGACTTTAACAAAAGTGAGAAACATTTATTATCTCTTTATGAAACTTACTGCTAATTATTCAGGATTTAATCAAATTCTATTTTTTTTTTTTTTCTTTCCAGTTTTTCTATGCCATATCAAGTAGTAAATCATCAAATATAATTGTATTAGTTCTGGCTCAAATCATGGTGAGTAATACAATTCAAATTAAATTTGCTATATGTTTGTATATTGAACTTTGTATATATCACTTTTTTTATATACAAATATTTTTAATTGTTGTTCACTTTTCATTTTCAGGGAATGTATTTTGTATCTTCAGTATTATTGATGCGTATGAACATGCCTGCAGAATATCGAATAATTATTACACAAGTTTTAGGTGAACTTCAATTCAATTTTTATCATCGATGGTTTGATGTGATTTTCCTTGTTAGTGCATTGTCATCGATAGGTTTCCTTTATCTTGCCCGAAAGCAAGCTCCTGGAGAAGGAGTATAATGAATGGTGAATAAGACATTCATAATGATGTGCATTTTTGTGTAAAGCGTGATATCCTGTACTCTAAGAGGTTTGCATGCTGCGATCATGTATCCTAGTTCCTACAGTCTTTATGGGTAATAAGTGGATTCCCTTACCCATTACCAGAGCTTGCTAGAGGATGTCTTCATGAACAATGAGCAGTTGACTGCAAAGCAATACTTGGTACATATGCAAAGTTCATGTGTCCCATGCCATGTTACAAATTGGTATTCATTCCACTGATAAATAATAAGACATTCTATTTATTAAAATATCTGCAAACAAATATTTGCAGGAAAAAAATTTCTCAGTGATAATTTGCTAGATTTGTCAAATAATATAATATGCATGGTTACAGATGTGGATAATGATATAGTTTCAAAAGGATTTAATGAAGTATGAAGTAGATGGTGCTGTCTAACAAAAGACTGAGTTTCACTTTTCTTGATATTTGCCATTTCTTTGCTGCATAACGTCTAGAGGGTGAGGCACATCTGACACCACTAGTTCTATTGTTATGGAGGGGGAAACATATTGCCTTTATTATTATCTTGACTGATAACAGTCAAAGATCATGACAAATACAGTAATTACTGTTGCTTACCCTCAATAAAGTGCATTTATTGCAATGTATCAATGAGGCAAAAATAATAATTTTTACCACTGTATGCAGTGTCAGAAATATATAGAAAGAAGTACTTTTGAAATAATAATTCAGTTAAACTAAATCTTGGATTTCAGATACTATATTCATATGGGATTATGTCACCCTGCATTTTATTGTATGAACACACTTTGAAACTATTCGTTCCATCTAGTTGTTTTTATTCTCATTAATACACTCACGCACAGTATTGCTGATGATTAAGGGGCAGATTTTGATGCCAAGTATTATCAATAAAATGCTCTTAAAATGTTTTTAAAATGGCCTAAAAGCAAAGAAAAATGATGTAATAAATGTAATCAAAACCAGTTTGGATGAACAACTCAAGCTGGATATGTTACTGATGTAATCAAGGCTTCCATTCATTCTATTCAAAACCAGCAAAAAATTACTTATAAAAATTGTTCATTTCCTTTTGTCATAACATAACATGGATTCCTATACTGTTCAGCATTATTCTCAAGTGAAAAAGAAAAATGATACTTCATTAAAACCTGCCCTCTACTGATGAATATTAATTATAATAAAGATTAGATAATAATAAAAATCCTTAGATATTATGTTAATTGTGCTTCTGCCTCTCATGAAGATAGGCCTTTTCTTTTTGATGGGTTACCTGGAAGTATAAATCCTCAGCAATATAGAATAGATGCTTTGTTTTTGCTATTGGAATAAATGGTCAAAAACATTTTCAACCGGCAACATGAGTTGATGATATACTAGTGAACCAAGTGTTGATTACTGTTCTGTTTTAAGTATTCCTGTTTTAACATTTCCTAGAGCGACAAGGAGTTTCTTTTTCTTTTTTTTAACCATTCCTATGGCATTGATTTGAAGGTGTAATGAAACTTATAAAGATATCTTTTTTTATAAAAAAGCAAAGTTGTTCAATCACCAAAACCCTTATGAAAATTACAAACATATAGGGCAAATTATATAATAATTTTTCTCATTTAATATGTTGTTTATACTACAAACATTTAGGGCAGACTGCACATTGTATTATAATTTTTCTCATTTAATATGTGTTTTATTCTGTTATTTAACATGCAATATAATTACAACAAATTCTTTCATAAGGGAGTGATTTTAAAGAAATGTTACCTTGCATAAGTTCTCAAGAATCTCTGTATAATACTGGTCAGTGAGAGTACCAAGTTAACTCCTCTCAATTTTGAAAAAGCACGTTGGGCATAAGTTGTGTAAATATTTGTATAATACACATGTAATGGCAAATAGTTTACTGAAGAACTTAATCTTAATTTTAAAATGGACACATTTATAAAATTAGTAAAGCAATAAGATTGTCTTTTGACTACTATTTAACATGGTAATTTTTGTTCAATGAACTAAAACATTATGTAATGGAATCATTATAATACAGTTTGAAAGAGATTCTAAACTTGAAATTTTCATTCATTTCTCCAGTTAGAAAAAACTTTCAAAAGATCTTATTAAATTTTAAGTGTGTGTGAATTATCAATACAAATAACTTTCTCTTAAATAATATTCAGTGTATACAAACTTTTGTTCATTATTTATCATATCATAAGACATGATTTCAAGGAGTAAGGGATATTTTAAGGAAAATAATGCAGATCAACTTTTTTTTTTTGCTGACGATGAGAATAATTTGACTTGCAAATATTCTCAGATATAGCTTTGCGAATATATCTTGACTCTGAATTTGAAAAATATTTCATTACCATCTTAGAATTACCACATTACACTGACAATTACCACACATGTCAGAGAAGTAAAAGAAGAGTTCAAGTTCTGAATGCCATTTGCTTTTGTAAGAAAGAGTTTGCATTGCTACAATGCTTTAAGAAAACATGTTTCTTGAAAAATGAATTTTTCACAAAAGAATTTGACATATTAAATTGTCCTTGGGTATAACCAGTGCCACCCTTT